TTACCTCATACTTACTCTTCGGAATCATGTATTTTTTAACTTTGTTTTTGAATACAAAACTTATCCAGATATTGGACTAATAAATCTTAGCAAGGCTAGAAGTAGTTATTTAAATTTAGGAAGTGGGTCAAAGAAAGCCAATTTCACAAAGTCACAGAATAGTTTTGGGTTGGAAAGGACTTTAAAGATCATTTAGTTCCAACCTCTCTACCATAGGCACATACGTGTTTCCTTAGACCAAGTTACTCAAAGCCTCATCCAATTTGGCCTTGAACACTTCCAGGGATGGGGCATTCACAACTTCTCTGGGCAAGCGATTCTGGCATATACCAACCTCACAGTAAGAGTTTCTTCCTTACTTCCTTAACCTAAACCTACTCTCTTTCAGTTTAAAGTCATCCCCTCTTGTCCTATCACTACATGTTCTTGTAAAATGCCCTTGTACTTGTAAAATGTCCCTCTCCAGATTACTTTTAGGCTCCCTTGAGGTACTGAAAGGCTGCAGTAAAATTTCCCTGGAGCCATCTCTTCTCCAGGCTGAACAATCCCAATTCACAGTCTGTCTTCATAGCTAAGGTGCTCCAGCACTTTGATCATCTTTGTGACCCTCCTCTGGACTGGCTCCAACAAGTTCACATCCTTCTAATGTTGGGAGTCCCAGAGCTGGATGCAGCACTGCAGGTGGGGTCTTACAAGAATAGAGTAAGGCTGGAGTTTTCAGCAAAACACTAAAGCACACTTCTCTCAAGTATATAAGCAAGTATGAGAGCCATTTCTTTGCTTGCATGCTTTCCACAGCAGGCCAACAGAGAAGGAATTCCAGTTAAATAATAAATATGGCCAGCACTTCACAAGGTGATCTTCCCAACACTTCTACAAATAACAGAAGCAGAGATAACCTAAGGAAGGAAGGATGGCAAGGATGGAAGAAGAAAGTTTACCAAATCATCTAACAGCAAGATGTCTACACGAACATTTTACCACATGTAGGAACAATAGTGAAACTCCTACCACATTCTCTGAACAATGTGGGCTTTTTCTAAGATAGCAATTCTTCTTCTGAGTCAATACAATAATCACTCAGGAATACATCTGACTTTTTGGTGAGCATTGTTCAATTCTGATAATGGTATTTAAGTCTAACATGGTAATAATACGGTGAATGATTAGTGGTTGGAAAAAAACTATCAAGAGTTGTATGCTGTAATAATGGAGCAAAAGATATGAAAAATTTAAGCAGAGAGAGTAAAATATTTACTTTACACATACCTTCAAAAATATTGTTTTCAACTCAGCTGGATCAGCTCTTTTGGTTAGAGCCACCTACAAGTAAATACAATTACATTAATATGCATAACTTACACAAAAGGTGTCAAAGTGTCATTTAAAAACAAGAACATAAACAACAGAATGAGTGATGAAAATAAATGTTCACCTTAGATAAATTAGGTACTGCTTCAGTTGGCCATGCTCATTTTATCCATTTCACACTTACATGAGGTTATTTAACATTTTTGTTCCACTTCCCTTATGCAACTCTTAAACAAGCATAAATTAACAAGTCATAAAGACATTCAAGAATCAAATCTCTATAGCATACCTCTGCTGGGATTCAGCATTATGCCATTTCTACCATAGATTTTTACACTTCCAGCACCCTTCACATAAAGATTTCAGAGTACCATATGCAGTCCATAAGTGATAAATGGCAAGAATGAAATACTCAGACTCACAAACTTGTTCAAGAAAGCAGCCCTCTAAAAAACTGAATTTCAATTTAACTATTTGGTTTATTACTTACACCATTTTAAACTTACAGTGTAGATCTTTTTAATGAGATTAATTCAGAAAGCAGAGTATCTAGATTTTTCTGCAGATCAAATTAACAAGCTCAAACTAAAATTTTAGTTACTTTTATCATCACAAGCCCAAAGTAATTAATTTTTTTTCAAAACACTGAATTAAAAAAATATTCAACCCACTATGGAGTAAGTCCATCAATATTATCCTCGTTAATATACCATACAATCCCTTTGCTGTTTTTGGCAGTAAGTGGATGGGTCTCCTCAGTCTGTGCCTATTATAATTTCCCTATCCTTCTTCAGGATACTTTGATAAAATCTTGCTTGCTAACATAATAACCCTCATCTGACAAGTCAATTCAGAATATCAATCTATTCCAAATTGAAAACGCAAACCTCGATTTAAAAAAAAAAAGTAATGGGGAATAAACAGTCAAAGGACAAGACATATAATCTTACCTTCATTTAAGAATTAAACATCAGAAATGTTATCAATAAAACACTACTATACTTTCCTAACTCTTTATAACAATGGTAGAATGTAAAGGCAAATGTGACCCCAAGTGCATTTCTAGAAGTATACTGGCCTACTGCAGAAAATTGAAGGAGTCTGTGTAAATCTGTACAACAGCATTATATCCTCACATGTACACTTAACATGAATCTTCAGTAAGTTTGTCCTCACCCTAAATGGGTCATTTAAAAATTAAAAAAAAACAACAAAAAATTCCACAAAAACATGCAAAAACCAACCAACCAAAAAAAAAAAAAAAAAAACAACAAAAAACCCCCCAAACAAACAACAACCAAAAAAAACCCAAAAAACCAAACCAAAACCCACTGTTTTAAGAAAAGTGTATGATTAAGATTTCTTATAAAATTCTCCACGTTTTTTTAAAAGGGAAAAACCACACCTAAGCTCAACTGACATGTCCACACCTGGAGTTCTGTGTCTGCACAGAAATCTGTGTGAAAGTAGTTGCAAAGAATCAAAGTGTAGTTATGAAGCTGAGAATATAAAAATGTGTTTTGTAAAATGCAAGCTGTCCTTAATATAATCACTGTGAGCAGAGATTTAATTTAACCTAATTTGTAAAAATCTGATAGTCTAGAGCAATTGGGAATTCCAGGAAAAAAAAACCAAAACAGTATTTCTATGCCACTTCAATCCAGAACATGCCAATACAGGCAAAGGAAAAACACTTCAAACACCTTTAGCCAGCAAACATAAATCAGTATCATACTTTATCTGTTTTAAAGTTTAAATTTTATACTGTCACAGAAAGCTATGCCTAAAGAAACCAAAGGAGAGAAAAAAAAAGGAAAAGATACATAAACTCACTTTCCTTTAGTTTCACTGATATCAATACTTTTGAGAAACAGAGAATGTGCTTGCAGGCCAGCTGCCATTTTTCAGCCTCCTTTTGATTATGAGGGAATTTGAGTGGTGGTTTTTTACTGTCAATTTCTTAAAACCATATACGGAAAGACAGAATGAATGCACAGAAGAACTGCAGACTGGCAGCCCAAGCAGTGCTGCATACCACAGCTTTTCTCCGTTTCCCAGTCTACTACCACATTCTTCCATTTTCCAGCAAATGGGAGAGGAAAGGCATGGTTAACACCATGTTAATTGGTGCATCCATGTGACATCTATTAGTGTGCATTCTGAAAGGTGTATCTGACCCCAATTGAAGAAAAGGGCCTCTATTACATTACATGAGAACTTTAGGAAGACTGGTGCTAATGCAGCCATACCAGCACCTAAAATAAGTATTTGATTCAGCTTTTCATCCACACCCAGCTCTGGGCAAGGCTGAAGCTGCAAACACAGCCATAAAAACTGATCTTGATGACAGGTGTTACTAGAAGATTCCCACTCTAGAAAAGGTCAAAATATCACTTTCCAAAGCATTCTGTAAATTGTTATGTCAACAGTTGAAGGGCTAAGTAATCTGATGCCAACAAGACTGCAAGCTGACAGGTAGCATGCTTGATGAAAAGTGACCCACAGACGAAAGCTGCTTCTCCTCCAGTCATCTCAGGTGATATTCACTGACTCTCACGTAACTGGGTTTAGGTGATGTGTTTTGTTACTAGAAAGACTTCTCCATTTTACTTCCATCTTTTCTCCATAAAGATAAAACCAGCTATGAGCTGGCAGGCCTAACTCATCTCTAGTGGCATGAGAAGGCACCGGATTAAGGCGATCTGAGGGAAATAATGTTGCTATTGCTCTTTACAAAGAAAAACTATGTAACAGACACACTTAAAATAAAACAAGTACTTCTATTAAGTAAGGTTCAGTGAAGAAAGCCCTCCAACAAACAACATTTACTATTAAAAAAACCCAGGAGACAACAGAGTACATCAACTGAAGTGCAGGACTATAATCAAGTTAGAACGCTCTACAGGAAAGACTGGGATAATGTATAGAAAATATCATCAGGGATTTTCATTCCTAAGGTAGACACCTGAAAGTCTGTAGCAACATACTACGTGTACATGAGTGGTATAATATATACGAAGAATGAGACAGAATCAGCATTATAAGAATTGCACTTAAAAATGCTGAGTCCTTCCCATTACCAATAATGTTCAACAAAGGGTGCACAGAGAAAGGGAAAGCTCTGTAACACAGACTGATTAGCATGCTGGAGCTCATCATATCTGTAGACTCCCTCGCACCTTAATTTCAGCCCATTTTCTCCAGCAGATCTCTTTTCTCCTCATTGACTTACACTCAATTTACAGAGACATGCATTTTCAGTCTCACTTCCATATTCAAAATTAAATGCAGTCTTTCAATTAAAATATAACTATACAACACAAGAAAACAGAATCCATTGAGAGTCAAAGAAGATTATATAACATTTCTAACCAAATCTATTAATATATTGGTCATATACAAGGTAGAAGAACAAGGTTGTGAAAGATTGCATGGTATCAAAAGACATAAAAAGACTAATAACAAAATGAGTGTGCTCTATCCAGTAAAGAACAACACGGGTGGGCAAGAAAGAAAAAGGAAAATCATAATTAATGTCAATATAGCATTAATCTAATGGCAAAAATATAGTATCTGATCTTCTCACCTTTACGGCAAAGATCACTTTAGTAGCCACAGTCTAAATAGAGTAGAAAGGTGATTATGATCCAGGAATACTTGGGGATTGCTACAATATTCCTGAAAGTTTATTGCAACAGCAGCAAGTCCTAACCAAAGATAAAGAGATAAACAGCTCATATTCTTTCTTTCACTTTGTTTAATCTCAATACACCTAAGATATGAAGAAAAAAGTTGACAGAGGTAAGGTTGCCCCCTACACCTCAATATCTTCAAAAACCTCGTGACACTGAGCAGGAAAGATGTTGGACAGCAGTCCTTCTCCAAGCAGGAGCCAGAGCTGTGGCAGGGCTGACAGCAGTGAGCTCAGTCTGTTTAGTTCTAGAGAACATCATCTACAGACAAATACAGAGAAAAGATGTTTGATGAAAGGCTCAACAAGTGATCACAAGCTCTTGTAACTTGTGTTGAAATTAAGATTATTTTTCAGAAGTTCATCCATTCTTAAACACAACTAAAGAATGCAATGTATTTCATACCACTAGAAGACCTCAAATTAAAATTGAAACCTTATGTCTTGTAGGGATATTCTTTAGTTTCATCACAAGTTATTGAGTCCACCTGTAAGACTCAAACACATGTGGCCCAGCTTATGTAAGAGGTCAGATTAGATCATCGTAATGTTTCCTTCTGGCTAAAAGTATACATATACACTTCAAATGTGCAACTCCAAAGGAGATCAAACTGGGGTTTGACCTTACATTCTTGTTTAAATGATTGACTGGAATATCAGAAACCAGTTAAAGCACAGTTTCTGGCTAAATTTGAATTCAGACCCAAAACCCATTAATACTGTTAATGTTAGTAAGAATTATGCTAAAACAACACTCGAGTTTTTATTTTAATACAAATAACCTGTTCATGTAGATGAGAATCATTTTTCTTCCACATTTAGACTAATACTACCATAAACATATATAATCATTCTTCTAATCTAGCAACTCTCCTTGGTTGCTTTCCATCATCATACCCATATCATCAGCTACAAGTGTTCTGCATCAGCATCTGTGCAAGGCACTGTCTCCTCTTTCAGCTGCCCCAATAAGCATTTTCTGTTAGTCCAACATGCGTATTTTTACCTCAGCAAAAGAACTGCCATTCTTTCTGCAGTAAAACAACTTGATTGTGATCTACAATGGAAAGTGAACTATGCAGTACTTGACATGACAAGGAAGATTTCAAGCAAGATGTGGACCAGCTCACCAAGCATAGAATCAGATAACTGCAAGGAGAGCTGGCACTGAATGCAGACCAAAAACCTTCTCAACAGATCTCTTTAACAGTAAACTAAGTACTTCTCCTAGGAAAATACAGTTCAGATGGCATTTGGCATATCTGTCCAAAGGCTTAGGGTAAGAAGAACTGCAAGAGAAGTTGATAACTACCAAGCAGGCAGGTACAGCCAGTCTGAGCACAGTAAGCCTTGAGACAAGAACCTTTCTTTCCTAAAAACAGTTCTGATCCTCACAGTCAAACATTTCAACTACACTTTGCAAAATTCTAACCCTACACTAAGCAGCAGTTACTGCATTCCTTTGTCTAATAACATCTAGTGAAGCTAAGATAAATGAATGTTATTAACAATACTCAACAATCTTCTGTAGGATCTTTTCAGATGGTTCAGCATGAAGAGATACAGAATAAACACTATTGAAACTAGACAGCTGTGCTGAGTCTGCCCCACACAGCGGTGAAACAAAAGGAATTTGTTAGCTAACAAAGACAGCATATCTCAGGCAAAACTATTCACATCTATCTTCACTCCATCATAATTATAAATTTCTGGGCAATTCCCAGTCTTCTGCACTATGGAAGGTGGAAGCCTCACTTCCCCCAAGTGCATCAAAGCTAACAAACCTACTTTATTGTGCAATTACCTTCTAGCTTTGATCCTACTTTCAAAGTCATAGAACAAATGCAGATGGCTTGTTCATAAGATGGTTCTCACACAAGGAGATTCCCAATGAGCCACAGTATTTTTGCACACAAACTGATTGAGGACCAACACACAGTTACTAATGATATACATTAAGGAAAATCCTTGTCCAGTTCATCCAATACTTCCAAGTAGGTACAGAAACCAAGGCGATAACCAATATCTTAAGAAAAACTGCTACAAGAATTTCTAAGATTAGCTGATCGATGCTATGTAAAAATACATTTAGACTGTATACTTCTACAATTTTTATATTTAAATACCTAGAAAATAGTAGGACAATAGAACTACCCCAATACAAAGTAAAAATAGCTAGGCGTTGCCACTGCTCAGCAAAATCATTTAACTAAAGGAAAAAGCACCATATTGTGGCCAACACAAACCACTCTAAGCACTTATCAGAAAATCGAGTTAGGGACAAACTGTACTATTTGTAGTCAGTCTCCAGACTAGGACAAGGATACAATTGCTGTCATTCCTGCAACAAAAATCGATGTACTACACCACAGTAAGAAACTGAACCTGGAAACCAAAACTTTGATAAAAACAGAAATTTCTTTCACTTTTCATGTTACTATCAGAAAAAGCCCAGTTCTCCAACCACTCCACCTATCCATCATAAAGTACTACTGTACTGTGACTGTAACTTCTTCCTCAAAGTAACAAAGTAATATTCCCTATTGTCTCATAGCTCTTCTACAACATCTTTTTACTCAGATGATCTTCAGGACAGTGATCCAAAGATGCACAAGTGAGCTATGTTGTGATGGCCACTATGCAACGTTAACATGGTCCTGTGTATCTCAGCAAACCAAAGCTCAACACTCACTTGAAGAATGTAATAATTCTACATAAAATATACAATGGGTCCTTCAACAAAAAAGTTTATTTTCAAAGGACCTGCTGAGAATGGTCAAGTGACATTTTCATCTAGTCATGGGTATTTTTCAAAAATACCCACTCCCGTTCACCCTAGATGGAAGAGATTACAGACGTTAATGCTGCTACTTTGCCCTCTGCTTTGCTTCCTTACACCTTTCAGAAACAGAGGCATATCTAAGAATCATGAACCTGCTAAAACATATTTGGTGGCTCCCTCACCCCAGATTAGAGACTTTCACTTTTGATTTTCCCAGGGCATGTTTTATTACAACAACAATGCTACTTGTACAACCAAGTGCATTGACCATAAACTCAAGACATCCACTGCCTCATGTTCATTCTTCAAAAGCAGTCACCCCAGTTCCAGCAATTTGTCTTCTGGAGGCTTACATCTAGCAAAAAACATTAATCTCACCCAAAGAAGCAAAGGATAGGAAAATTCTCCAGTGTAACAACAGCAGGATTGAAAACAGTTTCTGAAGAAAGCAGACGTGAAGATACTGAATGATACTGTTATCATTCAAAAATTATAAGGGAGAATTGGCAGACTATTAGGGCAGAATGAATCTTACCTGGCACTTAATGTTATTAGCATAAAATATGTATTTTAACCAGGATAAAGCAACGGGTGGGTGACAAGACAAAAGGCCGTTTAACACCATGGTTCTCAGGAGGTGGCACCTTAAGCAAGCATCATCTCACAACCGTGCAGAGCAACAGTGACTTCGGAGATCCATCTCTGAATGCAACCTGCAAGTTAGTAACAAGCCTCTCCAAGGTACCCATGCTCATGGTGCTCAAGGATCCCAACAGGTCATAGCTTTAATGGAGACAATCACTCCTGCTTTCACCTGGCTTCAAGCTTCAGACACCAACCTTCCACCAAAAAAAGTCACAACCCTAAGATTCAAAACAATGGTATGATGCAGCACTTCCAGGGAAGCTCTTCAGAGTTTTCAACTGCTCCTGACATCATACAGTACACACAGAGACCTAAAAAAAGGCATTCCGTGCTGTACCTGACATCTTAATGAATTACACAACCAACAATGGCAAGAACAGACACCCTGAATAATGTTAAAAAAGGTTGCTGCGTAATTTTCTCTCCCAGATGTCAACATGAGGTCTCAGTGAGTGAGCAAAATTGTTTGCACAATAAACAAAACCTGCTGCTTTTTGAAGAAAACAGACCTGGAGCAGTGCCACAGAGAGGTATCATAACCAGAATGACCTGCTCTTAAATAACTACTAATTCTATAATAACAAAAAAAAAAATTGTATAATTTAGTTATGTGCAATCAGTCCCCACGAACTTCTGGAAAGTTTATAGGCAGCATGTTAAGTTGTTACTAGAGTAATCTGTAATTTGTGACTTCATGCTTGTGAATGGGTAAGTAAAGGAAATGTGCTGGAGAAAAGTTCCTATACATTACATGTCTTGACTAATAATTGCATGACAGGAATTATGTAGGAATAACTGACAGGTAAATGTGTTTTGTTTCAGTGTGGTGTTTTCTTCTTTGAAGACAGAAGTTCACTTTTCAAGATCCTATTTATAATCAATTCCATCTATTCAGCTCTATTCAAAATGCTACATCTCAGCAGCTCAGCAAACTGGGAAGGGTGTGGGAGTGGGCATGAATCCTTATGTGTGTATGGATCCAATCTGCAACCTTAAAAAGAAAAATGGCACCTTCACAATGGAAACAACATCACACACACCAAGTAAAATTATTAAAAGGCTATAAATATGAGACTCAAAGAAAAGCTGAAGTCCTGCGGTCAGGAACGCTTCCCCATACAAAAATAACAGGAGCATTCCAGCATATACTTGGGCAAATGATAACATTTTGCTACTTGAAACAAAATAAGTATGTTATTTATTTTTCTTTTTTCTATCCCTACAACACTCAATACAGGGGCATATTGGGTCATGGGAAGCATGGCCATGGTCTGTGAAAGCTGAGTAACAGTAACTATCAACCTTTCCCACACAAACATGATAATAAGCCTCTGCCTACAGAAAACCCAGACTTCCACATTAACAAAGTATCTCTCTCCCTTAAAAATTTTTACCTGTCATCTCAAAATAAATATGCCAAAATACATGTTTGCAAACAGACTCTCTTTTGCCTGGAAGCAAGGGTATCACTGTTTGTTCAACTAGCACCATATGGGCTTTAGTTTAAAACTATTACATAATCTCCCTGAAGACAGGGAGTACAAAGTAAAGGCAGTTTAACATTTTATTTCACAATTCTTACCTTCAATATTAACAACAAACAACTGCTTGATGTTTAAATATTAGCAGATTACACAGTTGCCACAGGACACTGTGGTTGCGTGACCTTCATTCTTGCTAAAGATCAGAACTGAAAGGTGAAGCTATCAAAGAAGGTACTTGGAAATAATTTACAGTTTCATATGGGAATATAAAATAATCCAGTGAAGACCTATATTGCTTATGCAATGCTGTCACTGTAATCCTAGGGGTATATCTGCCATTGACTTGCCACACCTCAGTCAAAATTGTTAAGAGTTCACAATAACTCTCCATAATTAACCTAAGTGGTAAGATACCGGACAACAATAATTAAAATCTTCTCATCTCCTTAAGAAACTGCGGAACATTTTCAGCCTTTGATTACAAACTATACGGATTTTAGCTTGAATGATTTTGGCTTCTCATCTGTGAGTCTATTTTATCACAGATATTTGCATAAAGCAATAACTGTTTCATTAAAACATTAAATTTACTTCTGCTGCATTGCCCTCCGAATGTTTTTGTGAGATCACCTGGCTGCAGTGGAAATAATGATGATGATGTCAAACTGAACATTTTGATTTAAAGATGGGAAATTAAAGGTAAAATCCTTAAAATTACTTTCAGGAAAACATTTTTAGCAGAGGGGAAAACAGCATCAAACCATTTTTTTTCCAAGAAAGGTATTTCCATTGCTTTGAGGGCATTGCAGATTGCCTCTAAAAATGCCAGATTAACAAACACAGAGCAATGTTTAAGACACTAGAGAAAACTTAGCACTTTTCTTTTAACGTCTCAGTAACCAGGAGCTTGTCCATTTCATTCTTTGGACACTTGGGTTGATGTCAGCACCCTGATATCACCAAATGAATTCCGAACAGCATGTCTGTCGTCTCATAGTACCCTACTTCTCAGCCCCAGCTGTCAAAACTGTAGTAGAATTCCAAAAAACTCTTTCTGACCGTTGATCCAGCACTTCGAAACACAAAAAATTAATGCTTTACCTCAAAAAAAAAAAAAGCTGAGTGATCAATCAGTGATTACACCTCACAGCTTTCACAACCTGCACTACCCCAGAAAGTCTGCAGTGAATAGAAAAGCCAGAAGATCACACACTGGTTTTCACTATATACACCTCTGTTTGATCAAATTGTGGGTCATACATAACACAAAGCCTCAGGTTTTCAAAGCTGCAGAAGAATTGTAGGCACACATTCTGTATAAAACTTCCTAAAAACACTGGAGGAAAACAAGTGTATTTGGCAGTGTTTCTGTGCATATTTTGCTAAGGAGTTTCCATCATTTTCAAGAGTTCAGTGCTCTCTTTACTTCTTTCTCTCCACACATCCATAGGAAAAGGGAAAAAGCTTATTATTTATTATCTTTAACTTGTCAAAGGCACACAGAATAAGGAACTACTAAGTGCTATTTCAATTATACAGGATTTGAATGTTTGCACACTTGAGAATTAAGTATTCTGGTTTGGGCTATTCTCATATCTCTGAGATATGAGAATATTCTCATATCACCTGAGATACTGAATCTATAGCTTACATGTAATGGAAAACCAAAAGCAAATTGCAAGGGTTTTACCATCATTAGGAGTTTTACATCACTGTTTTCTTTATGGAGACAAAAGAGGCTCAAAACTTCTGTAGTATAATCCTCACAATGCAGAAAAGACTGAACCTGCTGCTTCACACCAGTTAGTCTTAACAGAAAAGATTCAGACCAAGTGACTGATCTAGGTCTGTGAACAGACTAAAAGCAATTGTATAAAGTTTGTTGTTGCCATGTTTTTCTTCGTTTTGAACAGCATCAACATGGGACTAATTCATGATCTTTAGAAAGTAGTTTCCAGTTAGACTGACACACAATGGCAAGCAGTCTTAGACAGGTGAAGTGACAGGAAGGAGGAAGGCTGACTTGATGTCAGTGACAAAAACTATTTTAATGGAAATGTGAAATTATTCAAAAATTTCTTCTCCTAAACACGTGAAGATTTCTCTAGTCAGATTCAGACTGCACAATGGGCTGAGAGAAGGAAACAGGCAGACGCAGTATTTTTACATACCATGTTTTTCTAATGGCTTTTTATACTCAGTGCCTCACTTAAAGGTTTCTTCTGTCAAAGATCTGTTAAATCAGTGATGTTTCATCAAATAGTAATTGTCAAACATGATAAAGAACTACAATAATAATAAAATACGTGACCAAGAGGTTTTAGTAGACAAGGATCCAGGAAAGACTGGAAACAGGTTGCATTTCCAAGGCACAGAAAAACGACATTAATGAAGTCTGCTGTTTGTAATCAGTAATACTAATTTTCAGACCTCCTCTATCCTAAAATAAGGCCTACATATCAGGTCATGCAATGGACAGATATGACATGGAAGTCACACAACAAATGACAGATGATAATGCATGACTGCTACTGCAGAACACTATCTTTCAATTAAGTCTTTTAAATAGGGAGACTCCTGCCCTGCTACTGATACAAGGCAACATCCCAGTCTCTCTCCCACACTAAGCACACCAGACCCCAGATCAGACTAAACAGATGTAGAGGGCACCAGATATAAAAGAATTGGGGAAAAAAAAAAAAAAAAAAAGAAAAAACAAAGCTACACCATAAACACACACTACTAAGAGGCACTAAGACAGGAGGTTTTATTTCTCAGTATAGGAAACCATGTGTCTACACATTTGAACATAGACCTTTAAACCAGAGTTGCATGCACAGACACAGAATCTCTGTGTCATGATCCTGCCGATCAAAAACATGTTTTCATGTTTTTTCATGTTTTGGATATGTTACCTGCATTTTGATTAAAACCCATCAACCTTTGATGAAAGATGTAGTCAGATGCCGCTCAAGCTACTCCAACACTGAATAATTTGCTCTAATTTATTCCTTTAAAACTACTCTAATTTTCTGCTTTACTTTGATGAAGTGGGCACTTTTGATAACTTCTCAGAATTAAATATCCATTGGCTGAGGCAAAAACCCAAAACTCCCCAAAAATGATGATTCTGCTGGCTGAGAGTTCAGGGAAGTTGGGATAAGAAACAGCAACAGCAAGAAAAATATAAAGACAATTAGAATTTCTTCCTCCTACTAGCTGGATGATTGGCATTTGGTTTAGGATCATTCTTGTGAAAGCATCCTCCCTTGTTAACTAACTGCATTTCTAAGCAGTGGACAACTATCATCAGGAGGAAGGTAGAAAAATGTGTGCCCTTCCATATTCCGAAATCTACAGGCATTTTTCCCTGAACACAATGTCAGAATGAAAAACAAAGCACAGGGAGTGCTAGTCATTTTTTTCTCCTCCTCTCCTTGCAAAGCCAGCTTAAAGAAAGACTCAACCTTCCTTGAATCTTCCATTTCCTGTTAAGTTTACACTTATCTTCTCAGACAGAAATGAAGCTTGGCTCCAGGAAAGAACATTTTTAAATCCTCAGTGAATAAAGATCAGGTAGTATTCACCTACAGAAACTGAAAAATGTGAAAAGGTAAATACAAAACAATGCATGGAGCTGGAAAAATCTCTGGTCAATGGCATTTTACATAAGAATCTGAATTCCAGTAAATCAATTTCAATTATGAAGGAAGTACCAACAAGATCACAGTGTCACAAACAGAGAAAGAATACACTCTGTTGGGGAAACAAGAGGAATTCAAATATATCAAATCTCTGTTCTCATCCTTTTCTTAAAGTTTTCAGTCTAAGTCCAACTATAAGTTGGACTTTAAGTCTTTTGTCCAACTGTATTGGAAATAGACTGATTCCCCACACTTCCCTCCCTGTGCAGCTCCCCAGCTGTTTAGGAATTACATCTTTTAGATTTGCTCAACAGCTGTTTAGCTCAACAGCCATGGTTTTGATACTGCAGAATAATAATCATACAAAAACATCTGAATCACAGAATATGCTGAATTGGAAGGCACCCACAAGGATCATCAAGTCCAATCCCTGTCCCTGCACAAGACCATCCCCAAGAGTCATATCAAGTGCCTGAGGGCATTTCCAAACACTTCTTGAACTCTGTCAGGCTTGGTGCTTCCCTGGACAGTCTGTTTCAGTGCCCAATCACCCTCTGGGTGAAGAACCTTTCCCGAATATTCAACCTAAACCACCCCTGACACAACTTCAGTCCTTTCCTCGGGTCACAAGAGTAGAGAGATCAGTGTCTGCCCCTCCTCTTGCTCTCACAAGGAAGTTCTAGACTGTGATGAGTTCTCCCCTCAGTCTCCTCTTCACAAGGAGGAAGGAAAACAAAGTGCTTCTGAGTATTTATATGGTTGGCTAATAACTATGGCCATCTACCTACACAACATCTATATTCTACCTTTGAAATTAAATTTACTCTTTGCAATCCTTCAATTACCCTCATCATCAAGGCCATAACAATCATAGTTGTAAAAAGCACACGTATTACACTTCTCATAGGTTCCCATAATTGCAAAAATAACCTTTAAAAGCCTTGAAATTTTTAAACTGATGGAATTAAAAAAAAAAAAAAACCCTAGACATTAAGAGTTACAGGGTACATTATCTTCACATGGGATTGATTCGCAGTGGGATCTGAAGACTGGAAAATAATTTAAAGACTGCACCCTTTAAGTGTAATGCTAATACCCTTCAAGTAAAACTATTCTTTGATATTTCTGCTTTGAAAAGAAGACACAATCAAGTTCCAGCTATATAATTTGTGGATAATCTCAATATAATCTAACAACAGTTCTGCAGATAACTACAACTTTAGGACTATTATTGCCAGCTCACCAAAACTTGGACCTTAGCAGGTGAATTTAATTCTGTATTCTGGCAGCTTCTATCAGATAATATCTGCTGGTCAAAAAGCATTTAATGAGCTTTAAAATGCTCCATTTGTGAAGGATTCTTCTTTGAATTATAACATATCATTAACTATCTGCCTCCCTGATCAGTCTGTTTTGCTGCCAGACAATCCTGTCCCAGATACTCAAACGAGGTGCTGGAATACATTCATTATCAGCTTTCTGCAAAGCCCTGCACTTCACAAAAAGGTAATCTTACAGATCTAAATAAATATACGACTGTGTTTCTCTGCACATCACATTAAATTTAATTAATCCAGTTGTATGCGATAAGATGCGCTGTTAACATCATTTTCCATTATTTGCACCCGGTATTTATCAAACAGAACTAGTAATAATGCAAACAGCATTAATAGGGCTGGGAAGTGTTCACCTGTCCTAAGGAAAGTTTGTGGAGCAAGAATTAACTATCTCAAGAGTGATTACCTGTTCTGTTCATTGCAATCACAGCCACCTAAAATATTAACAGTAGGACTGCTAAAAACATGAAAAGACCATGGAGATGTGCAGAGTACATGAAATTTGCCACTTAAGAATGGAAACATATTTTAGACTAACTAAAATAATCACAAGTTGCAGTAGTACTATTTATTGTAACAAACTTAGATTGCCTAAGTTTTCCAAATACAATATCTGGGTTAAAAAAACCAAACCAAACCAAACAAAAAAACGTACCAGAAAAAAAACCAAAAACAAAAACAAAAACAAAACCACAAAGACAAATCCCCAAAAAGGTCTCAGGTGTCTGTTCTCAGAGTAACCTCCCTCCTTCCAGCTCTGGTCCAGAGCCTTCGAGATCAGGTCTTCTGCTGAAGGGATAAACCAATATTATTGATGCTAACGTGGACTGGCTAATAGGGAGCAAGACAAAGGGCATATAGAAGTCATGAGTCATAAAGGCAGCAGTAACCTAAACCACAAATACATGAAACTTCTCTGTAGCTTCGTTTTCCATTTTGACCTTTATATATTTTAATACAGATAATTCATAAAATGACAGAGTGCTTAACAATTCACATGTGTATCAATCATTCAAAAACTACCAATCAAAGGAAAATAAAACACTGATTATTGCACAGCACTCAAGATTCCTTCATCTTTGGCATCTGTCACCAAAGTAATTCTCCTTTAATTTCCCAAATTTATGGAGAGTTAGGACTTCATTTCTCAGAGTTAGAATTTCACCAGCTGCCTGACTCCTACAGACTAAGGCTGCAGTCATCTTCTATGTGTGCGGTTGAGCTAAGGCTCATCACCACTGCTAGAAAAACATGTAGAGACCAGCTAGGCTAATCAAGGCAAAACCAAACACAAACTTGCCTTAAGCAAGTGGCAGCTACTTCTTCTACAGTAAAGTCAGGTCACTTTTAAATACATAAATAAGCCAATCAGAGACGTATCTTTAAAAAAAAAAAAAGCAATACAAGAGTAGAAATCATTTGCAAGGGAAGTCTGATTTTTTACTTCTGCTTTCTCAGAAAACTCCTTTTAAAAACATTCCTATCAGTCCAGGTATTAGGCTATGCAGAGAAAATAGGACGAAATACTTTTAAAGAATTCAGTATAAATATTTAAAAGAAAAATTACGACAAAGCTTTCTTGTTGTTTCAGTTCGTTTTTTTACTTTCCTTCTTTCAATTTAAATTTTTGCCCACTGGCACGTAAATAACTAGTGGGTAATTAGTTGACCAATTAGTTCTATGACAATCTCACAATTTTGCCTATGCAATATTAAAGTTACATCCGCATGGCTACATTCTTGCACCATGCCTTCTACCTTCAGGGAAAAATCCCTACAACCTCTATGCCTAACCCAGCATGAACCATGGCTGACAACAGACAAACCACTTACCAAAAGTCAAAAACCCTGCCTTCTCATTTCTCTGCTGAGCAGTGGAAAATGCAAAAGTATCTATAAATGCACGGCACTAAATAGTCCTATAGTGGTCACACACTAAACAACCCTTCACAGGTTTCCAGCTTAAGGTATTTCTGTGCTCAGTGCCATCCACATAACTCTTTAAGCTGCTTTGCTGTGAACCGTATTAGGGAACTGATCTGATCTGATGCAAACAAAACCAATTTATATATACTGAACAAGAAAAAAAAATGGTGTCACTTTTTGCCCAGTCAGTTATCCACTCCAATTCACCCCTGTACCATTACACTACCCTCGTATTGCCACTGAATCATTATTTAGTGAAATCACAACTTCATGGGTACCAGCAGCTTTTAAAAACTGCAGTGACCTAGCAGTTCAGGAAATAAAGAGGTACCTCTCCACACCAGCCCAACCAACAGAACGACTATAGCAAGTTCAGCCTTGGTATCAGAGCAGAGAAATAATCAGCCCAGTATCAAGAAGGCAAAGAACCAGTCCCAGAGATCTGGTCTAGCATAGCCCTGGCTTTCAAAAAAGAACCAGTAAGATCCTAAAGGTATGGAAGTGGTGATGATACTAAGATTTTAGAAGTATTTTTAAAAGGTCTGGCTGCGTGGGCACAAGTCTGCCCATCTCAGTGCACTCTCTACAAATAACACGGGTGTTTGTGTGTTTGCAAATTCCACTTTGCTCAGCCTCTGAGGGTCTGATCCATTAGCACGCTCCACTACCTCTAGTCACAGCATGATGCAAAAACCATTCCATTTCTGCAAGCAGAAAGTCACATGCAATTTAAGGTTTTAGGATTCCAGAAGTTTCACCAAGGTGCACATCCAGAACTGCTGCAGCCCTGATTTGAGCATGTATAGACATTTCAGACACGCTGACCAGGCACCCAGCAACCACACATGCAACACGTCTAATGCACATTGGCAGCAATCCACCGAAACTGTGGCAGCTAGAGGCATCATTCATGCAGAATGCATCAACACTGCCAGCAAGAGAGAATCTAAATCTTTCCCCCTCCCAGCTGGGTACCCTAATTGCTAGAAACTGAACCAGGTTCTGGTCCCCAGTCCTTGTGTTGCATTATAACACAACACAACGGCCCGGCCTGAAACAGAGGTGCAAACCTTGTGGTTTAAAGATCCTCCAGGGACTTTCCTTTTCTTCATCCCTGTTCTTTCATTTCCCACTGGCTGCCTTAGATGCTCCCTAGTCAGCACACTGGCAGTTTTGGTATTGATTTCTGACACCTCCGGTAGATTTCTTAATTCCAAAGTCAATTGGGTAAAAAAGTTAGGCATGGCGATGTCAATCTAAAGAACATCAAAAAATCATCTTTTTCTAAATTGGTTTTCACATGGCCAGAGTGTAAGGCAGATCTCCAAGGAGACTCAAAGAGTGACCACACTGGTCAGCATAAAAACACTTCTTGAAGGCTGCCTAGGCATACAAGACATCATAAATATATGAATCCAGCATGATGTTTAGGGATCTCACATGCATCCAACAAGAGGAATGTGATTAGTCCTGCAACGAGCTGTATTTCTTCTGTTTCTTTTCTAAATGCACATAGTTTGGTGTACATGCAAACACTTTGCTACTCTCTGTCTCCAATGTTTCTTCTTCTCCTCTTCAGAGGAAAAGCAAAATGCCAACAACCCATTCTTTGTGAGCAATTTCATCCTTTAACACACTGGATTTTGTTCAGGTCAAGCAACATTTTTAGTAAAGAATATAATTGCAATTGCTTGTTTCTAAGATCTTACAAATAGCATGACATTATTTTAAAAACTTAGGAAAAATGCATTTACAGTCTTCCTTTAAGTGTTTTAACACAGCTTCAGCTGAAATTGCTTTATTCCAAAGCAATTGAATATAGAGTATTCTTGTAAGGACCTCTTTGTCTCTCTGCAAACGATTGCGATACAGATACTTTCCAGAAAGAGAATGCACCAGAAAATATGCAACCTTAGCCATAGTTATCTAGCAGCATAAAACATCAGCTGCTCTGTTCCTGAAGATTATGTTGTAGCTAAAGCAAAACAGCATGATTAGCAGAGTCAAGTAGTGACTCATGCAAGTTTAAGTTTGGTACCATACAAACACACAGGCTCTATTCACTATGGTAAAGCCATTCTACAGCCAAAGCAGAGGCAATTCCACAGATTGAAAGCAAAAATGAAGCTAGAATTCAGCAGCACATTCATGCCATCTTCCAGGAAATACAATATCACATACCTCCTTGTCATACTCCTTGGACAACATAGACAAATAAAATAGATATTGGCCTAAACAAGCTGGTCAGAAGATACATTGTTATCACTCAGGGCTGTAAACTTGTCTACATTACAGCTCCAGGAGGAGTGCCTTTAACATGTGGTTTGAGGCACACTTGGAAGAGCTTCTCTAACCTCCTGGGACACAAAGCTGCATAGAAAGAGCAAATTATTTCCCAATGTGATAAAATCCAGGTAACTTTAAATACTTTTCAGTGGCTACCACAAAAGACATGGTATACACATAACTGCTGGGTCCAGTAGCACTCTCCTAGGCATGAAGTAAAGTCACCCTTCAATTCCTCTTACAGTGATACCATAATGGAAAGGAGTAAGTTTCAAAAATTTGCCAAAACCACTGGCAGTTGCAACATGTGATGCCATCAGTACCTAACATACTGAAGACATAAAGCAACCTCTTGCACCACCTCCTCTTGCCCCCACCTTGCTCTGATAAGGAAAGGTGGGGCCAGAGAGGAAACAGTAGTAAAAAGACACAGGTAAACTCAATGGAGATAAAAACCCCACTGTAATAAAGCTGCTTTTCAGGGTAATTCAGCATCCGCTGTGGAAGAGAGCTGTGTGGACTTTTTCCACAGCAGAGCTGCTCCATGAGTGTCTTTTCTGGGATAATTCTTGCCAGTGAGCCCTGTAGCATGCTGTGAGTCTTCTGAGACTAGGACTCAACCTATCTCCTGAGGGTATGCATCCTAAGCAAAGATTTATGCAGGAAAAAAAAAAAATTAAACCAAACACATAAACTATGACAGGCAGGACAGTGGAGCAAATGACTTGGTTTCTCCTCTGTTTCAGCTGCAGTCATCAGTCATGCTACTTCGTACTTAGAAAAGGTCTGAAGTTATCAGCACTCATACAAATTCAATGTCCCTCTATCAGGCAAATTCTGGTCTCTTAGGAAATCAAGAGGCAGTAATAAGTCATAAGTAGCATAAATACATGGTTTTTTTCTGAGGTGAAAGTGGAAAGAAGAGTCTTATGATACATACAGTGTTTAAGAATTTACATATTTCTGCACAGATCCAAAATATAACTATGCATGAGCAAGCACTGCTGGACCTGTACAAACTAGCAACAGGACTTTCCATGTGGCTATTACATAGTGCTATCACATCCAAAAAATTACCATGGTACCATTAAGTGCCATAACACTATTAAGTCTATAGTACATAAACTCAGAGGTGCTTCAGGGAAACAGATTATTCTCTCCTTACTCACCAACCACTTTCCTCTCCAAAACTGATCTCACTGAGTGGCTGGAGCCTGTCCACAATGGACTCCATTCCTTTCATGGACACAGGAGCCCATCATGATGCCAGAATCCCTCATCTCTTCTTTTCTGAGGGCCCAACAAATCCATGTCCAATGCAATGCAATTCTTCTCTTCCATTTTGCTGGAAGAAGGGAAGAATGGCACGATTGAGGGCAAGAAGAGTGAATTTAATCTGTTCCCAGGCACACTCCATGCTACTGCTAGCACAGGAGAGACGAGCACAGGAGAAGGAGCTGAACAAAGAGGCAAAATGGAGCTGTATGATGCACAAAGGGACACACTGGGTGTGCATGGCAGCAAAATAATCAAAGTGGCATGGCTGTGTCAGCATCTAATAGATTTGGTATTGTTTGCAATCATGTTTATTTAGAATTGCATTGCCATTGTGCCTGCATTTCAACCACTGTTTACTCAAACCTCACTAATTTACATCATCCAGGGCAGGTACTGGATTACTTCTGCAGACAAAGAGGTTTGTAGAGGCAGGGCCAGTGGTATCAATCCCTCCAGAACTCCAGTTAATACAGCTGAGGTGAAGCATCTTGCAGGACTGGGGTGTTCAGTATGAGATGTCTGACTATAGTAACACCAAGACATACAAGGAGCCTGTGCCTGGGGACTAACTATTTTTGATGTGACAAGTTTTTAGGATTTTAAATGTAGATGTGGCAGTAACCAGAAACAACATTTAATTCCACTGATACAGCTTCCATAATAAACAGTTTCCAAAAAACACAAGAGAAAAGAGAATTTAAAAAAAAAGTTAAATACATGAAAATTGCATAACCAATTTTATTTACCTTGCACTAGAACTATCTCAAATATTGTCACATAAGTTAGCAACAAATCTCTTTTTGTTACATTATTGATGTGGTTCTGACAGTCAGGCATTTGTTCATCGAAAGACTTACACATGCACTTAAATTAAGCATGCAAGCAGTCCCATTGGGTACTGATGTAAGGTTCATGCCTTCATTTGAACAGTCATTTTACAACTAGCTTTTTTTAGCATGCGATGTTTGTGTTCACTTTGTTAACAAGACAGTAATTTTAAAATTACTTATACATTCTGGGTAGCACGGGCAACCAGTTCATGCCCAATGGATAAAAGTTCACACATGACACACAAAAAATTTACATTAGAAACAGATATTCCACAGTGCTTCAAAATCAACCTCTGTATTGTTATTACACAGTTCATATAGTTAGTGAACTTTATTCACATGCTATCCATAGCAGAGATAAAGTTTAATGGTGTTCAAGTGCTTCCATGCTAAGCCACTGTTTTTATCGTTTTCTAGGCTTTGATTTACCTACCAAAATTATTTGAGTTTGGAATTTTCATTAATGCAATTTCAACTGTTTTGATTGTAGCTTAATAGTTATGAAATAAAAAGTTTAAAAACATTATATATACTAGCTCCCATTATAAATAATAATTTCTGACCTTACGTTGAACAGACAAAGTAGCATAGTAGCAAAGGCAAAATCAACTACAGAAAGAAGTCTCATTGAGACATACCTTAGAACCTTCCCACTGAAAATACATTTATTTTTTACCAAGCAGTAGAACTTTAAAAAGACAGCAAATCACACTTTGCACATGCATGAGACAACAGCTATGCCCAGAACTTGTAGCAGAATAGGGATCAAGGGTAACTGACATTCACTCAACACAAACATTTAATTTTGCTGTAAAACACACACCAGGTGAATAGCAAGGGGCATTAGCTAGACTACGTAAATTCTTTTTAGAACTATCTGGCTAAAGGGCAGAAAAACAACATTGTGATTGCATCGTTAAACACTCAAAATGAAGAAATAAGCAGGACACACTATCTAAAACGTTAGTGCTTTGTACCTGCATTACCATAAAGATGTGCCACATAGACTCCATTTTTGCACAATGCAGAAAAAGAAGCCAATGAAGAAAAAGAAGGATGATAATTTAGTTGCCAATGGGGTAAAAATCAACTGGAAAATCTCACCCCTGGTTTTTACTGGAAATTTGTGTGAATATAATTTACAGTGGAGTTTTCCCAAAACAGTTTCACAAAATGTTTTTGAAGTTTAAGAAAAGCCACTGATGTGTAACACACATCGTTTAAAATGTACAAGTTGCAAACATTGAGCTATATACAATGAAGGAAATTAAATAGGGCTGTAGTACGCATTTCTTGATACCTGAGTGCTTAACTATGCAGCCTTAACAGTATCCCATTTGGGTTTTCTTTTAGAGACTGAATTCCTAGAGTCTGCTTAAAATGTCAACATTTGAAATCTTGCAAGCAAAGACCAATTACATTCAATCCCAAAGACTCATATGCCTAAAAGGGTATAATTAAAAAATTAAAGGAAGCGGTCATGCAGGATACTGGCAAGGAAAAAATACTGAAGAAATTTTAGAAAAAGCATTTAACTCACCAGTCCATTGTTTGGCTGAGGTGAAAAAGGCAAACATTACTGAGATGCATCAGTGAGGAAGTTAGAACACAAATCAAGGCCCGTGCCTGCAAGCACATGTGAATAACTTCAGGCCCAGAAGCTCTTTCCGTGGCAAAGTTATTCATATGTGTGTTTGCAGAACCTAAGCTCAGATGTTACCTTTAAAGTACAAACTGCTACTTACATTTTGCTACTGACCTCATTATAAACAGAAATTCACCTGTGTTTAACTGTTTCAACTGAAAAAGACAAAAACCCCCTTGAAGTCTCACAAGGTAACATAATTAATCCATTCTAGCTGCTCACAGTTTTTGTTTGTTTGTTTGTTTGTTGTTAACATAAGTCTCTCAGAATGTGTTTAGGCTTACAAACCAGAAGCCTTCCTTGGTAGCTATGTGAGGACTGTACACCCTGGGGTACAAAAAGCCGTATCTCTGCCTTGCAATACACCAAGAATGCTTATGACATGACAATTAAGCCATTATTCTTTTTATTGGGTATCTCTCTGCCAAGCCTGATGTAACCTGACATATACAATATTCAATTAAGTCTCTTAAAGTGTTGAGTCTTTCCAACATATGCTTGTGTAGATTTTGGGGTTCTGAACTGCGTAAGAAATCTAGCTTAAAGAAAAAGGACACCACACAAATGTGTAGCATGGAGCACACGTGTCTATCCAAACAGAGAAACACTAACTACACATACAGTATTTTTAAATAATATGTTACTAGCATAGGTTTAAATGGATTGCAGATTACAAACCACTGCATGGAGAAGAGAAAGTAAGTAAAAGGTTCAAAAAGCCAGAGAATAGAAGACTTTTAAGTCTTTACACACCAATAGTTTGATAAGACTGATATGTATGTACGGACCAGTGGGCAATCAAAAAATTTTAAAAAGGCTAGATAGCTGAGATTCACAAATAGTTAACTCAAGATTTGGGGATGCCTGAGGGCAGTAGCAATTGAGGGATCAAATATTGCTCAATCCACTAAAACGGCATGCAGTTCAGATAACCTAAGTTCTTATTGAGAAAGGTGCTGACCAAAGCAGCCCTGCCATATACTAGCTGAAAAAAGGAACACACAACTCCGGCCACACTGAGCCATGTGCTGCCTTGAGTTGTTTGGGGTAACTTTGTTTCCTGATGTTTCCTCTATGTAAGTTTCATCAATGACTTCAATGAAAGAAGGACATGGAGTAAGTTCTTCTTGAAGTGTCAGTATTCCAATATGAAACCTAATGGAAGTAGTAAGTTTTGAAATACCAACACTATATCTAATTTTATCTCCCTTTCCATATGGCCTTGATCCAGCTAATGGCTAATTTTTTTTTTCAAGAATGGGAGTATATTATTAGGCGATTGAATAAAGTATTTCGATTTGTTTATCCTTCTGATCAGCAAAAAAGCCTAAAAGGCAGTATCCACCTGACAGGAGAGCACTGAGAAGTAAAAATGGTTGGAAATGATAACCAGATGTGACAACAGAAGGTAAAAGAAGGTACATGGAAAAAATGGGAGAAAAATCAAAAAGGGATTATCGCGCTAAGGCCTGCAAGCAGGACAGAGCCAACATCTGTGCCCGCTCCGCCGTCCCGAGAACCCGTTGCATCCTCTCGTCCAAACAGGTGTGTGTGTCCGCATGTACAACACGTGTGTGCGTGTATCTTTATGCATCTGTACATGCGTAGGAAGGGGCACGGCGGGGCTCCCACTGAGCCACTACTGGGCCCAAATGCGCTTGGCGGAGCTGCGGCCGGGCTAGGGCACGGGTGCCATGCGGGGCAGTGCGGGGCCTCGCCGGGGAGAGCAGCACCGGTACCGACACCGGCACCGACACCGACACTGCACCGGCACCGACACCGACACTGCACCGGCACCGACACCGGCACCGGCACGGCCCGGCGGCACCGGCACGGCCCGGCGGCACCAGCCGCGGGAGGCGCCGTGCAGTGTCATTCACGCCGATGATGCATCGCAAGGGGAGCGCAGGCCCGCTGCTCCCAGGGCGGGCGGCTGCGGATCCTCGCCGCGCTGGCACCCATCCCCACGGGCCGGGGGCCGCCGGCTGCCCACCCACCCCCCGCTCCCTCGGGGCCGGCGGCCGCCGAGCCGCGAGGAGGAGGAGGCGCCACCGCCGGGTTCCGTCAAGGACAGGCCCGAGGTCAAACCCGGCAACCTCCCCGCCGCGGCCCCTTCCCCGCCGCCTGCCCGCCCGCCCGCCGGCGGCGGTGCCTTACCTTGGCAGCCATGCTGTGCCCGGCGCGGCCACCCCTTCCCGTCCCTTCCCTTCCTCCGCTCCCCTCCCTTCCGACCGCGGCGCGCAGCTTCCCCGCCTGCGCACCAGCCCGCCAGCGCCGGCCGTCACCGCTCGCTCTCACAGGCAAGGACGGGGCGCCGCCCCCGCCCGGCCCCGCCGCGGCCCCGTGATCGCCCGGCACGGTCCGGACCGGCCCCGCGGGCTCCGCGCTGCGCGCCGGGAGAGGCGGCGGGAGATGCGGCCCCGGACACCCGCGGGACGACGGCGTTGCGGGGCGAGCAGCGCCTCATCCCAGTGAAGGGCCCAACTGCCCTCCTGGTTCCTCCACGCTTACGGCTGGTGGCCCAGCGGGCACACGGGGACTCCGAGCTGCTGGGGGGCCCTGCAGGCTCTCCGCCCGCTGCAGACGGTCACCATGTCACCAGCTGGTGACTCGCGCTGCTGACCCCGGTGTGTTCGGGGGACACCGGGGCGAGCAGCGGCAGGACTCCAACACATCAAACCCTGCTGTTTTCTTCCCCTCAGGACAGGCTGTTCGAGCGATGTTTCATCCAGTTGCAGCATCCCCAGCCATCATTCTGGGATGTGCCAAGGACAAGCTGTGCAATTTTGTCAGTGCTGTTCTGGTTTCTAAGTCAGACACGAGCAGCCCCGCTGCAGTGCAGGGCTGTACCCAAGGTGACCACGAGTGTGGCACGCTCAGCCCCACGGGCGGGTCGCACACCGCCTGGGACAGCGTGCCCGGGCATGTGTGGCCGTGCTCCACTGGGAATGCCGGCCTGGGGCGATTGCCAGGTTGCCACTGCCCGCTCTGGCTCGTCCCGGGGCTTCTGGGGGGATTTTAGGATAGATTAGGACTGGTAGTGGAGGCAGGGAGCTTGCCACGTGCGTGTGACTAAAAGGTTACTTTCAAGAACAGCTCCAGGGCAAGTTTTCGAGTTAATAATGTGTATCAAGTTAGTCATAGCTTTGAGGTAGATATTTCATCACTTCCCCTTAAATTGAGTTTTGTAAAGATGCTAAAAAGGCAGAGGAGCTCAGAGACGTCTACATTATAAACCAAAACCAATTAACTCTTTAATTGCTATTAGTTAGAGAGAGACAGCAGAGGAATGATAAGGATTCCTAAATACATCCTCTCTGTAGAAAAATTGTAAGGATTCATAAGCATATCTGTACTTGCCAACTATAACTCTGTGAAGAATATCTCTTTTTATGTTTTTAATCCAATGAGTTAACTACTTTTGGTGCTTGAGCAAATTGTAGTCTCCCCTGTACCCCTTGAGGGTTTATTAATCACCTGTGAGGCCCGGCACTAGATATATTCCCTTCTCAGCAGTGTCCCAGTCTCAGCTTCTTGCAAAAAACCTCCCATTTGCTGGATTTTCTTCCTTTTCTTCTTGCCCCACATATGTGTGCCCATTGCATGTGCTCAGCTGTTCTGTGAGACAGCACAACCTTTCTCTTCTTGCTGCATCTCACTGACCTAGAAAATAGCAGACCTAGATCAAAGCAGACTTGAAGCCTTCCTCCAACTCCACTTTTTCAAATAAACACATAAAAACCAGACTATGTAGTGCTTATCTGCAAACTAGATAAGTAAATAATGTCACCTTGTCATAAATGAATAGATAATAGTAGTCCATTTATAAACAATAGAAAACAATCTTAGATTATTTTAATGATACCACCAAGAAGAGAAAAATTACATAGAGAAAATAGCACAACAATTGTCTTAGAATACAAATACTACATTCTGTGTATATTCATAAGTCAGGATATTTAGATATGAGCCTGAAAGTCAGTCCTATTGAGCTTTATTTTTGTGAAAACAGGCTTCAATGGGATTTTTTTTCAATTTAAGACTGCTAAGAAAACTATGAGAATTCTTATATTATACTGACACAATATCTTGAGCTAATTGCCAAGGAAAAACACAAGTCAAAAAACTGTCTATGTTTCAAGTAGACTGGTGGTGAAATTCAGTGAGGTGAGGGGAAAAGGATGATTCTGGAAAGCCTTATTCAACTGCTCCCAACAGCACCTGAGCTCTTTTAACACTTAGAATCATAGAATCATGGAATGATTTGCTTTGGAAGGAATCTCTGAATATCATCTAGTCCCAGCCCTCTGCAATGAATAGGGATATCTTCAACCAGACCAGTTTACTCAGTTTGTTCAAGATCAGGTTGGATGAGTAGATTCCCCATCCAACCTGATCTTGAGTATTTCCAGGGATGGGATATCTACTACCTCTCTGGGCAACCTGTTTCAGTGTTTCAAAAAATTTCCTTTATGTAGTCTAAATCTGCTTCATTTCCCATCCTTCAAGAGCTCCAGGTACATCAAGACCTGAGCATGCCTTCAGCACTGCCTTCAACAAGACTGGAAGGTCACTGCCTCACTTGCAGAGAAACCTGAGCTTGGCCTCAGGTCATGACCAACATGCACATACAGGCCCAAGTTCCTTATCTTCATAGAAAAGGCAGTGAAGGCTAATACTGTTCACGTTTTAGATGACAAGCAATATGACGTGGACTACAGCACTCTCCTTGGCCACATAATCAACTTGTTTTCAAAGTCCACTGTTGACTGAGGTTAGGTTCAAGCCCATATGTCATACTCATTTCAGTATGTTTTAACCACAAAGCTTTAGACTGCTCTGGGGAAGAGAGGAGGAACATTTTTTATTCTTTCTAGTGAAGACTAGATGATATGTCTTCAAGATATTGAAGAGGATAATCCAAGATCAGCTGGACTGGAGAGAAACACAACTCTTTTATAGAGTAGAGTGCAAGAAGATGAGGGTGAAGTTTTGAGTCGGTTTTCATTACAAAGCATACAAATATTATTTAGAGAAATCAAGACATTTCAAGGCTCCCATCTACAATAAGAAACAGCCTAGAGTTAGCTCCTTCTTATGCTCTCTTCTAATAGGACATCTTGAATTTGTTTGTACACATGGAGATGGGTTTTGCAGGAAGAGCTGTAGCTTGTTTCCAAAATAAGTCACAACCAAGTATCTGAACACTGTCCTTGAGGTGAAAAATTAGGCTTTGATAGTTTTCATGTAGAAGACAGAATGAGAGCTGATTCACTACTTGATGTTTTAATGAGGGTATTGTATAGCAGGGCAATGCATCTCAATAGACACACACAGTCTTTGCTTAGGTTATTATAATTATCCTGGAGAGACCAACAGCCTGGGGCTCATGACTTTTAGACTTGCCTAACGACTGATAAAAAATTAACATTTACCTCTTGACAGTGTAAGGCAGAGCTCAATGTGCTGGCTATTTTGGATCTAATTCATTACTCTTTTTATTACTACTTTGATTACTGTTTCTATGATTTCTCTTACAGTGTTCAGATTTTGTATGGCCAGACAGATACCTAAAATATAGGCATTGCAGTATGTAGCTTAAAGGCAAATAAATATGTTCTTGGTTCTAGAAAGATCTGAGAGCATCAGGGGAGGTCTGGAGAGGACTGGATCTGGACAAATCAGACTGTACAGATCTGGATTACTAACTATCATGGTGAAAGGCTGAGATAAAGCAAAGACTGACCCAAGGCCCTCAAGATCTGTACTGCTATCCAAATTACTGAGCTCTTTGCCTCAACATTCCTTCTCTTTGCCTCACAACTAGAAACTATCTTCCAGATGGCTCCTTCTTTATTATATTCTATGTTCATCAACATGGATATTTTCCTGTGTGCTAACTTACCACAAAACTGGCACCAAGTACATCTTCCTACAAGTAGAGCTGATAGTCAAAAAAAACAAGGGGCCTCAATCCTTGGGAAAGAGCTGGATGTTAAAAATAAATGAGCACAAGGTTTTCCTGAGCAGATCTTGTTTCTTAAAACTCTTTATTGACCTCTCTCCTTCAGTGTAGTCTTAAGGAAAGGCACAAAGCAGCATCCTCTTCCTTAGGTCAAGGTTTTGGTGTGGGTTTTTTATTCTTTTTGTGGTTTTTTGGGTTTTTTTTGTTTGGTTTTTATATTGTTTGTTGGGGGGGTTGGGGTTTTGGGGTTTTTTTGGGGGGTTTTGGGGGATTTTTGTTTTGTTTGTTTTTGTTTTGGTTTTGGTTTTTTGTTTGTTGTTGTTGTGTTTTGGGGTTTTTTTTTCGTTCTTAATAAAGGATGTTTGGCTGATGTGAGTTAGTACATCAGTTTTGGTGACTCTTTGCCAAGAATTTGTGTTTGCACAGTAGGCCTAACCCTGAGAATTTCTCAAATAAAATATGACTCACTCTGAATGAATCATTCACAATTCTTCTGTTTGAAGGATATTTACTGCAGATCACGATTTCTTCAAATATATTTGCTGTTTTTCTGGTTATTTTATAACATTGTCTAATGATTGTCAATATTTCTTTTTTTGCTGTTGTACTTTTTAAAATCACACATATTCTTAATTTTGTTGTTTATTTGTAATTTTTGAGAAGATCAGTCAAACATTATCTTATTCC